CAGGGTTCAACAGCTATTAAAAGGGTCATTGGATGTGAGTCCACCCTAGGTCACCCTGGGTCGCCCTGGGTCGTCACCCTAGGTCACCCTGGGTGGACGCTGTTATCATACTTTCCTTAAATGTCTATCGAAAATTTCTCATTTTAATGAATTTATTGATATGAGAACTCTGCGTGTTTAACAGTTATTGCTAATGTTAACTTTTGGTGACGTTACAGGTCTTATAAGTTATATTTGTATTTTGTATTTTGAGTAAGTTTTAGGTTAATGTAACCCGCTTAATTTTGTATTCACACTGTACTTCAGCTCTCACTACCTTACTATCTGGTCTCCCTACAGCCCCCCCCCCTCTCTCTCACTCTCTCACTCTCTCTCTCTCTCTCTCTCTCTCTCTCTCTCTCTCTCTCTCTCTCTCTCTCTCTCTCTCTCTCTCTCTCACACACACAATCACAGACTCTCCCAAAAGAAGTTTGCAATAAGTTTATGGCGACGCACGCGAGCGCGCACACAAACCTCTACCTACCTTCCCCTTTCATATATATAAACGTGTGTGTGTGTGTGTGTGTGTGTGTGTGTGTGTGTGTGTGTGTGTGTGTGTGTGTGTGTGTGTGTGTGTGTGTGTACCAGGCTGTTAGGCTGAGCTGCTCGCTGGCTGCCTGCCTCCCCCAGCCACACTGCAGCCTCCCTCCCACCCCCACACCCACACCAACAGCGAACCATCACCACCCAACAATCACCACCCAACAATCACCACCCAACAATCAGCACCACAAGTTACACTATAAGCGACTCCCAACTGCCGGAGCAAAAGTTAGGCCCCTCCGCCCAGCTGGGACGCCTGACGGCGACTGTCGGAACAAAACCTTCCCGCACAAACTCAACAGGCGAACCTGTGATTGTATCACAATCACAACTCCGAGGTGACGTATCAACACTCCACTTCAACACCGATTCAAAACCATTTCGCGAAGCGCTGCGTTACGTCAGACAGAATCGGAAACTTTTTTCTAAAATTGTCGATTATGGCGTTCAAAGAAAACGAGGCCTTGTCCGGATGTATCTGTACAACCCGTCTTCTTCCGTAATAGTGGCACATCCAATTCTGGTCTAATGTGAAATATTCGTTGAGATGTCCTAAGACTTTTTCATCACGGTAAAATCTTGGTAAATAAATGTGACTTTTTTATGCAATGTTCTCCATGGTTTGGTGGGTTGCTTGGGTTCGTTCGTTCGTAAAAGAGATCGCGGGCCGCTCACTGTACAAGGCTCCGAGGTTATGTTCAAAAGACAAGAATGTGTTATTACATTACAGAACAAAATATATAATTCCGTTCAATTTCTGTTCCTCTTCCAGTGACAGCTTAATTAAGAGCTGTCTACATACCTTTTATCTAGAGTCTGATACAGTTTCCGGGAATCAATGTCCCCGCGGCCCGGTCTCTCGCCAGACCTAGTTGGTGGTCTGGTCAAGAAGGCTGTTTAATACCGCTGCTCGCAGCTTGACGTTTAAATAACAGCTTGGTTGATCAGGTTTTTGTAGGTGTTCATCAAGTTCTCTCTTGAATACCGTGAGAGGTTGGCTGTGATTAGTCCCTGGCACTGTTAGGGGGGATCCATTCCCTAGCACTGTTAGGGGAGCCATTCCCTGGCACTGTTAGGGGAGTCATTCCCTGGCACTGTTAGGGGAGCCATTCCCTGGCACTGTTAGGGGAGTCATTCCCTGGCACTGTTAGGGGGAGCCATTCCCTGGCACTGTTAGGGGAGCCATTCCCTGGCACTGTTAGGGGAGTCATTCCCTGGCACTGTTAGGGGAGTCATTCCCTGGCACTGTTAGGGGAGTCATTCCCTGGCACTGTTAGGGGAGTCATTCCCTGGCACTGTTAGGGGAGCCATTCCCTGGCACTGTTAGGGGGGATCCATTCCCTGGCACTGTTAGCGGGATCCATTCCCTGGCACTGTTAGGGGGGATCCATTCCCTGGCACTGTTAGGGGAGCTATTCCCTGGCACTGTTAGGGGAGTCATTCCCTGGCACTGTTAGGGGGAGCCATTCCCTGGCACTGTTAGGGGAGCCATTCCCTGGCACTGTTAGGGGAGTCATTCCCTGGCACTGTTAGGGGAGTCATTCCCTGGCACTGTTAGGGGAGTCATTCCCTGGCACTGTTAGGGGAGTCATTCCCTGGCACTGTTAGGGGAGTCATTCCCTGGCACTGTTAGGGGAGCCATTCCCTGGCACTGTTAGGGGGGAGTCATTCCCTGGCACTGTTAGAGGGAGAGCCATTCCCTGGCACTGTTAGAGGGAGAGCCATTCCCTGGCACTGTCAGAGGGAGAGCCATTCCCTGGCACTGTTAGAGGGAGAGCCATTCCCTGGCACTGTTAGGGGGAGAGCCATTCCCTGGCACTGTTAGGGGGAGAGCCATTCCCTGGCACTGTTAGGGGGAGCCATTCCATGGCACTGTTAGGGGGAGCCATTCCCTGGCACTGTTAGGGGGGAGCCATTCCCTGGCACTGTTAGGGGGGAGCCATTCCCTGGCACTGTTAGGGGGAGAGCCATTCCCTGGCACTGTTAGGGGAGCCATTCCCTGGCACTGTTAGGGGGGGAGCCATTCCCTGGCACTGTTAGGGGAGAGCCATTCCCTGGCACTGTTAGGGGGGAGCCATTCCCTGGCACTGTTAGGGGGGGAGCCATTAGCTGGCACTGTTAGGGGGAGCCATTCCCTGGCACTGTTAGGGGGGAGCCATTCCCTGGCACTGTTAGGGGGGGAGCCATTCCCTGGCACTGTTAGGGGGGGAGCCACTCCCTGGCACTGTTAGGGGGGAGCCATTCCCTGGCACTGTTAGGGGGAGCCATTCCCTGTCACTGTTAGGGGGGAGCCATTCCCTGACACTGTTAGGGGGGAAGGATAACAGCTAGGAGAGCGTGACTCCGTGCCAGCGGCTGGTCTATTGTCCATCGCTTCATTAAGTTGTAATAAGCTGTTCTTCCCTTCACACTGTCTAGTTCCCTTCAAACTGTCTGGTTCCCTTCACACTGTCTAGTTCCCTTCACGCTGTCTGGTTCCCTTCACGCTGTCTTGTTCCCTTCACTCTGTCTAGTTCCCTTCACACTGTCTAGTTCCCTTCACACTGGTTCCCTTCACACTGTCTAGTTCCCTTCACACTGTCTGGTTCCCTTCACGCTGTCTGGTTCCCTTCACACTGTCTAGTTCCCTTCACACTGTCTGGTTCCCTTCACACTGTCTAGTTCCCTTCACACTGGTTCCCTTCACACTGTCTAGTTCCCTTCACACTGTCAAGTTCCCTTCACACTGGTTCCCTTCACACTGTCTAGTTCCCTTCACACTGTCTAGTTCCCTTCACACTGTCTAGTTCCCTTCACACTGGTTCCCTTCACACTGTCTAGTTCCCTTCACACTGTCTAGTTCCCTTCACACTGTCTAGTTCCCTTCACACTGGTTCCCTTCACGCTGTCTAGTTCCCTTCACACTGTCTAGTTCCCTTCACGCTGTCTGGTTCCCTTCACACTGTCTGGTTCCCTTCTCATTGTCTAGTTCCCTTCACACTGTCTAGTTCCCTTCACACTGTCTAGTTCCCTTCACACTGGTTCCCTTCACGCTGTCTAGTTCCCTTCACGTTGTCTAGTTCCCTTCACACTGCTTCCCTTCACGCTGTCTGGTTCCCTTCACGCTGTCTAGTTCCCTTCACACTGGTTCCCTTCACGCTGTCTAGTTCCCTTCACGCTGTCTGGTTCCCTTCACGCTGTCTGGTTCCCTTCACACTGTCTGGTTCCCTTCTCATTGTCTAGTTCCCTTCACACTGTCTAGTTCCCTTCACACTGTCTAGTTCCCTTCACACTGTCTAGTTCCCTTCACACTGGTTCCCTTCACGCTGTCTAGTTCCCTTCACGTTGTCTAGTTCCCTTCACACTGTCTAGTTCCCTTCACGCTGTCTGGTTCCCTTCACAACTGTCTAGTTCCCTTCACACTGTCTAGTTCCCTTCACGCTGTCTGGTTCCCTTCACACTGTCTGGTTCCCTTCTCATTGTCTAGTTCCCTTCACACTGTCTAGTTCCCTTCACACTGTCTAGTTCCCTTCACACTGTCTAGTTCCCTTCACACTGGTTCCCTTCACGCTGTCTAGTTCCCTTCACGTTGTCTAGTTCCCTTCACACTGTCTAGTTCCCTTCACGCTGTCTGGTTCCCTTCACAACTGTCTAGTTCCCTTCACACTGTCTAGTTCCCTTCACACTGTCTAGTTCCCTTCACACTGTCTAGTTCCCTTCACACTGTCTAGTTCCCTTCACGCTGTCTAGTTCCATTCACACTGTCTAGTTCCCTTCACACTGTCTGGTTCCCTTCACGCTGTCTAGTTCCCTTCACACTGTCTAGTTCCCTTCACACTGTCTAGTTCCCTTCACGCTGTCTAGTTCCCTTCACGCTGTCTATAGTTCCTTTCACGCTGTCTAGTTCCCTTCACACTGGTTCCCTTCACGCTGTCTAGTTCCCTTCACACTGTCTAGTTCCCTTCACGCTGTCTAGTTCCATTCACACTGTCTAGTTCCCTTCACACTGTCTGGTTCCCTTCACGCTGTCTAGTTCCCTTTACACTGCCTAGTTCCCTTCACGCTGTCTAGTTCCCTTCACACTGTCTAGTTCCCTTCACACTGTCTAGTTCCCTTCACACTGTCTAGTTCCCTTCACACTGTCTAGTTCCCTTCACGCTGTCTAGTTCCCTTCACACTGTCTAGTTCCCTTCACGCTGTCTAGTTCCCTTCACACTGTCTAGTTCCTTTCACACTGTCTAGTTACCTTCACACTGTCTAGTTCCCTTCACACTGTCTAGTTCCCTTCACGCTGTCTGGTTCCCTTCACGCTGTCTGGTTCCCTTCACGCTGTCTGGTTCCCTTCACGCTGTCTGGTTCCCTTCACGCTGTCTGGTTCCCTTCACGCTGTCTAGTTCCCTTCACACTGGTTCCCTTCACGCTGTCTAGTTCCCTTCACGCTGTCTGGTTCCCTTCACGCTGTCTGGTTCCCTTCACACTGTCTGGTTCCCTTCTCATTGTCTAGTTCCCTTCACACTGTCTAGTTCCCTTCACACTGTCTAGTTCCCTTCACACTGGTTCCCTTCACGCTGTCTAGTTCCCTTCACGTTGTCTAGTTCCCTTCACACTGGTTCCCTTCACACTGTCTAGTTCCCTTCACACTGTCTGGTTCCCTTCACAACTGTCTAGTTCCCTTCACACTGTCTAGTTCCCTTCACGCTGTCTGGTTCCCTTCACACTGTCTGGTTCCCTTCTCATTGTCTAGTTCCCTTCACACTGTCTAGTTCCCTTCACACTGTCTAGTTCCCTTCACGCTGTCTAGTTCCCTTCACGTTGTCTAGTTCCCTTCACACTGGTTCCCTTCACACTGTCTAGTTCCCTTCACGCGGTCTGGTTCCCTTCACAACTGTCTAGTTCCCTTCACAACTGTCTAGTTCCCTTCACACTGTCTAGTTCCCTTCACACTGTCTAGTTCCCTTCACACTGTCTAGTTCCCTTCACACTGTCTAGTTCCCTTCACGCTGTCTAGTTCCATTCACACTGTCTAGTTCCTTTCACACTGCCTGGTTCCCTTCACGCTGTCTAGTTCCCTTCACACTGTCTAGTTCCCTTCACACTGTCTAGTTCCCTTCACGCTGTCTAGTTCCCTTCACGCTGTCTATAGTTCCTTTCACGCTGTCTAGTTCCCTTCACACTGTCTAGTTCCCTTCACACTGGTTTCCTTCACGCTGTCTAGTTCCCTTCACGCTGTCTAGTTCCCTTCACACTGGTTCCCTTCACGCTGTCTAGTTCCATTCACACTGTCTAGTTCCCTTCACACTGTCTGGTTCCCTTCACGCTGTCTAGTTCCCTTCACACTGTCTAGTTCCCTTCACACTGTCTAGTTCCCTTCACGCTGTCTAGTTCCCTTCACGCTGTCTAGTTCCCTTCACGCTGTCTAGTTCCCTTCACACTGTCTAGTTCCCTTCACACTGTCTAGTTCCCTTCACACTGTCTAGTTCCCTTCACACTGTCTAGTTCCCTTCACGCTGTCTAGTTCCCTTCACGCTGTCTGGTTCCCTTCACGCTGTCTGGTTCCCTTCACGCTGTCTGGTTCCATTCACGCTGTCTAGTTCCATTCACACTGTCTAGTTCCCTTCACGCTGTCTAGTTCCCTTCACACTGTCTAGTTCCCTTCACACTGGTTCCCTTCACGCTGTCTAGTTCCCTTAACACTGTCTAGTTCCCTTCACGCTGTCTAGTTCCCTTCACACTGTCTAGTTCCCTTCACACTGTCTAGTTCCCTTCACACTGGTTCCCTTCACGCTGTCTAGTTCCCTTCACGCTGTCTAGTTCCCTTCACGCTGTCTGGTTCCCTTCACGCTGTCTGGTTCCCTTCACGCTGTCTAGTTCCATTCACACTGTCTAGTTCCCTTCACACTGTCTGGTTCCCTTCACGCTGTCTAGTTCCCTTCACGCTGTATAGTTCCCTTAACACTGTCTAGTTCCCTTCACGCTGTCTAGTTCCCTTCACACTGTCTAGTTCCCTTCACACTGTCTAGTTCCCTTCACACTGGTTCCCTTCACGCTGTCTAGTTCCCTTCACGCTGTCTAGTTCCCTTCACACTGTCTAGTTCCCTTTACGCTGTCTAGTTCCATTCACACTGTCTGGTTCCCTTCACACTGTCTAGTTCCCTTCACGCTGTCTAGTTCCCTTCACACTGTCTAGTTCCCTTCACGCTGTCTAGTTCCATTCACACTGTCTAGTTCCCTTCACACTGTCTGGTTCCCTTCACACTGTCTAGTTCCCTTCACACTGTCTAGTTCCCTTCACACTGTCTAGTTCCCTTCACACTGTCTAGTTCCCTTAACACTGTCTAGTTCCCTTAACACTGTCTAGTTCCCTTCACGCTGTCTGTTTCCCTTCATACTGGTTACCTTCACACTGGTTCCTTGTCTGACTCCTGTCAGTAGGCTTAAAGCTCTACCGTCCCATAGCTCAGGTGTAAGCCTTAACCACTAATTTTCCCTGAACCACGACCTGCTGATTGATTTACAACCAGGTATCCAGTTCCTGCTGGGTGAACAGAGGAGTACAATTAAGGACTCGACCCTAGTCAATCCTCCCCTGGCCGGGACTCGAACCCCAGACCAAATTGCTGGTAAAGCCAATATTTCATATTTGTTTTATTACTTCATTCCGTGTCTTTTATCCCCTTACCTTCCCAATTGACCTGCCTTGACCCCTCTTTCATAATTCCCCTTACATCCTCTCTCTCTCTCTCTCTCTCTCTCTCTCTCTCTCTCTCTCTCTCTCTCTCTCTCTCTCTCTCTCTCTCTCTCTCTCTCTCTCTCTCTCTCTCTCCCTCACTCTCTCACTCCTCCCTGCCTCCCCCTCTCACTCCTCCCTGCCTCCCCTCCCCCCCGCTACAAGACAAAAATGCGGGTCACGAACCTGGACATTGACGAGGGTGGGCGCGTCCTCCACTGGAACAGAGCCGTTGAACCAGGTGACGGTGGCGGCCGGACGAGCTCCCTTCACCAGGCAGTTGAGGGTAACCTCCTCCCCCTCGTAGGTCGCTGCCTCGGCCCCCGTCACCGTCACGCTCACCGGTGGCACTGTAGGGACAGGTCACAGGTCAAGGGTGGCACTGTAGGGACAGGTCACAGGTCAAGGGTGGCACTGTAGGGGCAGGTTACAGGTCAAGGGTGGCACTGTAGGGGCAGGTCAAGGGTGGCACTGTAGGGGCAGGTCACAGGTCAAGGGTGGCACTGTAGGGACAGGTCACAGGTCAAGGGTGGCACTGTAGGCAGACAGGTCACAGGTCAAGGGTGGCACTGTAGGGGGCAGGTCACAGGTCAAGGGTGGCACTGTAGGGACAGGTCACAGGTCAAGGGTGGCACTGTAGGGGCAGGTCACAGGTCAAGGGTGGCACTGTAGGGGCAGGTCACAGGTCAAGGGTGGCACTGTAGGGACAGGTCACAGGTCAAGGGTGGCACTGTAGGGGCAGGTCACAGGTCAAGGGTGGCACTGTAGGGGCAGGTCACAGGTCAAGGGTGGCACTGTAGGGGCAGGTCACAGGTCAAGGGTGGCACTGTAGGGGGCAGGTCACAGGTCAAGGGTGGCACTGTAGGGGCAGGTCACAGGTCAAGGGTGGCACTGTAGGGGCAGGTCACAGGTCAAGGGTGGCACTGTAGGGGGCAGGTCACAGGTCAAGGGTGGCACTGTAGGGGGCAGGTCACAGGTCAAGGGTGGCACTGTAGGGGGCAGGTCACAGGTCAAGGGTGGCACTGTAGGGAGCAGGTTACAGGTCAAGGGTGGCACTGTAGGGGCAGGTCACAGGTCAAGGGTGGCACTGTAGAGGGCAGGTCACAGGTCAAGGTGGCACTGTAGAGGCAGATCACAGGTCAAGGGTGGCACTGTAGGGGCAGGTCACAGGTCAAGGTGGCACTGTAGGGGCAGGCCACAGGTCAAGGGTGGCACTGTAGGGGCAGGTCACAGGTCAAGGGTGCTGGGGGTCAGCGAGAGTCCAGCCAGTCAGTTCATCTTACCACAACACCCAACTCATCCTCTGACAAAGGATAACTCTAAAACTATACTCAATGTTCTGGCTAAAGTTTAAGCTCGTGTGTCGACCTTTAACCTTGCCTGTGCCATATATATGCTTGATGTATACATGTCCACCAGGCAGCTATACATGAAGGATACATAGCACAGCCACTGCCAACTCCTTCATATATTTATGTTTAGTGAACTAACTGCATGTTGGAAGTGACCTTTGCTCCACAATATAATTTTGCTCATCCGTGTATGAATATAATGTTTTAATGGAAGTATGTGATATTTAACTGTTGGGTTAATTATACTACAACATACGCGTTTAAAATAAGATAATTTTTTGTTTTTACTCGTGAGTAGAATTTTCATATATTTGTTTTTAATCTAAAAACAGTTCCTTGGAAGAATAATAATAATCAAGGAATTTTAAAGTGTCGTGTTTATTAATTTTGTTGGGCTTCAGGAGAGAGATGATGTACTCAAGGGACTTGTAAGCATCCTAAGATGCTTCAGGAGATGGTGAGCATCCTAAGATGCTTCAGGAGATGGGGAGCATCCCAAGATGCTTCAGGAGATGGTGAGCATCCTAAGATGCTTCAGGAGATGGTGAGCATCCTAAGATGCTTCAGGAGATGGGGAGCATCCCAAGATGCTTCAGGAGATAGTGAGCATCCCAAGATGCTTCAGGAGATAGTGAGCATCCCAAGATGCTTCAGGAGATAGTGAGCATCCTAAGATGCTTCAGGAGATAGTGAGCATCCCAAGATGCTTCAGGAGATAGTGAACATCCTAAGATGCTTCAGGAGATAGTGAGCATCCTAAGATGCTTCAGGAGATAGTGAACATCCTAAGATGAACGCTGGCGATGGTTGGCCAGGAAGACCTCGATAAACCGACCAGACGCCGGCGGGAGGCCACATAGGCCTAACCCACTGGCACTATGCCAGATAAGAAAGGTCGACTCTTGGTGGCCATTTACGCCATAGAAGACAATTATCTAAACAAATACGGTAATAAACATGTCCGCTATTGCCCGAAAAATTCCCAAGAGGCCTTTAGCTAATGACTCGCTATGGGGCTGTTGGACTATTACGTGAGTGGAAAAAACAATTTAATTATGGAAGAGCAATGAGTGGTCTGTGACTTACTATAACTATTTTACAGATCTAGAAATTTAAAAAAAATGGAAAGGGAGGGAGGGAATGGCAGAGGGAATTATTAAGGGAAAGCGCCAAGCCATTGCGACTATATAGCACTGGGAAGGGGCCAGGATAAGGATTTGGGATGGGACGGGGGGGGGGAAAGGTGTGGTGCCCAACCACTTGTGTGGACGGTCGGGGATTGAACGCCGACTTGCATGAAGCGAGACCGTCGCTCTACCGTCCAACTCCAAGTGGTTAACAAACAAAACGAAAATAATAATTCACAGCTACACATTTAAATTATGAAGATTATATATTATATATTTTGAAAGACTTGATACATTAAAATGTCACACACACACACACACACACTCGCACACACACACTCTCACACACACACACTCTCACACACACACACTCTCACACACACACACTCTCTCACACACACACTCTCTCACACACACACTCTCTCTCACACACACACACACACAACACACACACAACACACACACAACACACACACACACACACACACACACACACACACACACACACACACACACACACACACACACACACACACACACACACACACACACACACAACACACACACACACACAGATCAAGAGAAACAAGGGACACTTTACCATTGAGATCGACAGTGACGAAGGCCACGAAGGGGGAGGTCATGGCGGCGTTGTCCGCCTCGCAGGTGATGGTGGTGCCCAGGTCGGCCCTGGAGAGGGACACCCGTAGAGTGTTCCTGCCCACGCCCGCTCCGTCCTGCTCCAAGATGCCTGAGTATTCTCCTGAGACGCCGCCGCCGCCACGCAGAAAAAGGGAGAGAACTCATGTTAGTTACGAAGTCTTCGTCTTGGAGCCCAGGTCTGGTGGGACCTTTGCCATACTATGGCAAACCTTTGCCCTGATGGTCCTGTTCACCTAGCAGTAAATAAGTACCTGGGAGTTAGACAGCTGCTTCGGGCTGCTTCCTGGTGATGTGTGCGCACGCATGTGTGTAGGAATATGCAATAGGCATATCGGGAATAACAATTCACCATCTTGCAGAGATAACAGCCTCCTGCAACAGATAAGAGTACATTGCCCTGTACAATTTGGGTGGTCAAAACAAAGCTGCTAACGAGGCCAAGAGTGCCACTAACGAGGCCAAGAGTGCCACTAACGTAGTGCCGAGACGTACACAGGACAGGAAGGTAGACATTCTGACCAGACAATTCCCTGGAAACACAAACCGTAACTGTCCCTATTTTCAGCTTGTTACAACTTGTAATAAAGTTGTTGCATCTTGCCTTAACGTTTTTATGACGTATTAGAACGTTGTTACAACTTGCTATATTGGTTGTTATAACTGGTTAGGTGGTGTTAAAACTTGTTCGAACGTTGTACCAACGTCGTAGTTTCGTTGTGTTTGGCGGGTTCAAGCCGCTGATAATGAAGGCAATAAGGAGACGGCTGAATATGGTGACCGACAACTTTCTACGCTTGGCAAACATTTATTTACACGCCGTAAACACATCACAATAACGTGGCTGAAAGTAAACTAAAGCACGCTTGCATGACAGCAAAATGATCACCACGTTTCGACCCCTCTGTTCTGCCTTAACGTTCCAAGACGACGGATTCACCAAGCAGCTACGCAAGTACTGACAATCCTGAGCATCTTAAATCTCAATTTTAGCGGTTTGTTTACATTTAATCAAGAGTTTGCGAGCTTCGAAACTTCCCAATCAAATGTTGCTATTGCTATAAACAGCTTCCTGAACTTCGTAAGTGCTTGCGTAACTGCTTCGTGAATCTGGCCCCAGGATTGCCAGTCGGCGTAGTAGATATGCGTGATCAATGGGTTGTGTCAAGTTGTTGTTGGATGAGCTGTGGCTGGGTGAGATGGGTTTGGGAATATATAAATGCATCGCATGGCCCAATTGGCTATCTTTTATCCTTTACGGGCTACTCATGCCCATGCCACCTCTTGGGTCATCTTGAGATGATTTCGGGGCTTTTAGTGTCCCCGCGGCCCGGTCCTCGACCAGGCCTCCACCCCCAGGAAGCAGCCCGTGACAGCTGACTAACACCCAGGTACCTATTTTACTGCTAGGTAACAGGGGCATAGGGTGAAAGAAACTCTGCCCATTGATTCTCGCCGGCCCCTGGGATCGAACCCAGGACCACAGGATCACAAGTCCAGCGTGCTGTCCCCTCGGCCGACCGGCTCTGGGTGGCTTAATCTTAATCAGTCAATCAATCCAATTGGCGTTATGCAATCTACATAATTCTTGTATTCATATTACAGGTATTAGGATCTATTTCTTATGAATTCATGTTATTTTGTCAACTGAATCTATATTTATGGTGTTTTGAACACTTTATTGATTTACTATGCTTTAGTTCGATTCCTGTATAAAAGTGCCTTTCTTGTTCTAATTGCATTAGGCTTAGTACTAAAAAAGGCATCTGAAATTGGAAAACCATCCGAGGTTAATTTTGTATACAGCAAACTACATCAGTATCTAGTTCTTGGTGTAATATTTCAAACGAGTGTTTATGAAATTGTAGACAAATGACAAATGTGTTTTGCTATGAAATCTTTATACATCTTAAATCCTACAATACATGTTTTTATTGTGTATAATCAGGATGCGGTACTGATTTGATCTAAAAATTTAACCGAGACTTAATTAACTGCTGTAATAACGGGGCTTGTTCTTAGACGTATCCAGTTGCTTATTTGCTCAGAGTGCCGGGGGGGGGGGGGCGTCTTGACCCCCTCCCTTAACAACTGTGGAGGTAACTGGCCGGGGGGGGGGGGCGTCTTGACCCCCTCCCTTAACAACTGTGGAGGTAACTGGCCGGGGGGGGGGGGCGTCTTGACCCCCTCCCTTAACAACTGTGGAGGTAACTGGCCGGGGGGGGGGCGTCTTGACCCCCTCCCTTAACAACTGTGGAGGTAACTGGCCGGGGGGGGGGGGGCGGCTTGACCCCCTCCCTTAACAACTGTGGAGGTAACTGGCCGGGGGGGGGCGTCTTGACCCCCTCCCTTAACAACTGTGGAGGTAACTGGCCGGGGGGGGGGGCGTCTTGACCCCCTCCCTTAACAACTGTGGAGGTAACTGGCCTTAGTCTCTAATGTTCAGCGGGGACCCTCCCCCCCCCCCACCCATGTTTCCTGACCAAGTTACTTCATCTGCAAATTTTACTTTAAAATAAAACGGGGACTTGTGAGAGTTTGAGAAAAAGCAAATCAAAACAGCTTTTGTTTTCTAAACACTTACGTTACAATCGCAACCTATTTGCCTGCCCAGAAGTTTACATACCTAGTGAACCCTCCTTACCTATCTTGAAGTTATCTTGAGATGATTTCGGGGCTTAGCGTTCCCGCGGCCCGGTCCTCATCCAGGCTCCTTTTTGTTACACATCCCCCAGGAAGCAGCCCGTAGCAGCTGTCTAACTCCCAGGTACATATTTACTGCCAGATGAATAGGCGCATCAGGGTGAAAAAAACTCTGCCCATTTGTTTCCGCCTCCGCCAGGGATCGAACCCGGAACCCTAGGACTACGAATCCCGAGCACTGTCCACTCAGCCGTCAGGCATCGTGGCCAATACTAACTGGGCCGAGAATGCGCCAATATTACGCTGCTTTTGACTGTACTTAAACGCTGGAAATATAAGGCAGTCTTCGATAGCGTAAACAATTCAGTACATTATGAGATTAGGTTGTTTTGAGTCTAGGGTGATCCGAGGATGGAGCTAAGGTATATCTAGAATCTAAGGAATATATAGAGCAGCAGCAGCTCCACATGTAGGGGATTTCCTATTAGCAATCAGTTAGCAATCTAGGGTGGAACCAGTTGATCTCACCTGGGAGGGTCTGGCTACCGTTCCACCAAGACACCCTGGCCACGGGCTTGCCCCCGCCAGACTCGCAGACGAGGGTGAGGGAGACGCCCTCGTCGAAGGGGCCCACCACCGTGGCGTTCTCGATGGGCGACCCGTCTTCGAAGGTCATCTGAAGGTACGACGGCAGTGCTGTAGGGAGACGGAAGTGTTCATTAGTACAGTTGTGTGGGGGGAGTGGACCTATTATGTCATATACAGGTCTCCAAGGGGTAAACTCCTTATGAGCCTATTCTCTCCCTACTGGCCAGCCACTTGGGCCGGATGGTACAGCGACGGCCTAGCTACTTTGCAGGTTCGGGGTTCGATTGCTGATTAGTCCGAGAGGGGGATAGACACCGTTCTTTAACCTTGCCTCCCGCCTATCCCTGCCTCCCCCCTCATCCACTTCCCCACGGGCCCACCCGTCCACTTCACCACGCCCCCACCCGTCCACTTCCCCATACCCCACCCGTCCACTTCACCACGCCCCCACCCGTCCACTTCACCACGCCCCCACCCGTCCACTTCACCACGCCCCCACCCGTCCACTTCACCACGCCCCCACCCGTCCACTTCCCCACGCCCCCACCCGTCCACTTCACCACGCCCCCACCCGTCCACTTCCCCATACCCCACCCGTCCACTTCCCCACGCCCCCACCCGTCCACTTTCCCACACCCCCACCCGTCCACTTCCCACACGCCCCACCCGTCCACTTCACCACGCCCCCACCCGTCCACTTCACCACGCCCCCACCCGTCCACTTCACCACGCCCCCACCCGTCCACTTCACCACGCCCCCACCCGTCCACTTCCCCACGCCCCCACCCGTCCACTTCCCCACGCCCCCACCCGTCCACTTCACCACGCCCCCACCCGTCCACTTCACCACGCCCCCACCCGTCCACTTCACCACGCCCCCACCCGTCCACTTCACCACGCCCCCACCCGTCCACTTCACCACGCCCCCACCCGTCCTCTTCACCACGCCCCCACCCGACCACTTCACCACGCCCCCACCCGTCCACTTCACCACGCCCCCACCCGTCCACTTCACCAAGCCCCCACCCGTCCACTTCACCACGCCCCACCCGTCCACTTCCCCACGCCCCACCCGTCCACTTCCCCCCCCCCCCACCCGTCCACTCCCCCCCCCACCCGTCCACTCCCCCACACCCCCACCCGTCCACTTCCCCACGCCTCCACTCGTCCACTCCCCCACACCCCCACCCGTCCACTTCCCCACACCCCCACCCGTCCACTCCCTCCCCCCCCCCACCCGTCCACTTCTGCTACAGACGCTTGAGCTACACAATTCGTCATAGAGACCATCATTGAACTATAATGGAACATACTTCAACACCCAAAGTTAGATGGATGACGTCTGGCAGGCAGTTTCGTGGGGGGGGGGGGGGCGTAGGAGGCTGTAGGGAGGCGTAGAAGGATGTAGGGAGGATGTAGGGGAGATAGGGAGGGTATGGGGAGGAGGGCTAAGTAACCATGGGGAAGGGGGGAGGGGGGTGGAGAGCACACTGAAATATAAATATATGGTTCATTTTGTGACTATCTGGTAATGGGTTGATCAATTGGGTGCCTTTTATTACTAAAATACCTTTTGTATGCACGCGCGTGCGTGCGTGTAGTCACCTAGTTGTGCTTGTGGGGTCGTGCATCAGCTCTTAAGCCCCGCCTTCCGACCATCATTGATTTAGTGCTGTGAAATAATGTTGGTCGACATCTCTTTGGCTCGTCTGTGTTTGCAATTATGTCCTCTCTTTCTGTTGTTCCTAAATTTGATCATTGTTTCTATATCTACTTGTGGAATCCCCCTTGGTATCTCGTACGTCGTTATCATGTCTGCCAAATTCCTTCTTTCCACAAGATCTCTTTCAGCTTAGCCCCCCCCCCCCTGATAAGAACGAGTTTTGTTGCATATTTTTGGATCTTTTGTAGTTTAGTTTCTTGTTTCAAGGAGAGGGGGGGGGGGATTATTTTGCACCCAGTCATGCCTCCTGGTCTCATCTGGTGTTATTTCCATGTGCAGATTTTGAATTTATCCAAATGATTTATGAATTATCCAAATGTAAACTATTATATCTCTCTCCTGCCTGTGTTGTAGCGAATACTGATTTAAAACAATTCAGCGGTGCCAATAATTTAGATGTTTTATTGAGTGGATTCTCGAAGTAAGAGATATCTCAGCAACAAGTCCACTACGGGCTCACCATAGGCCGTGCTACTTGGAACTTTTGTTCCAGGGGATAATGATGGTATCTGGGCTGTGCCTTTAAATGATGTTTAGCACTTGTGTTTGTGTTCCTTTGTTGTTCATTATGAATATAAAATTTTCAGCACTCTGAGCGCTCACTCTCACAGGAAGGTAATACTCATCTTCCTGTGGGTGTACTCCCATGGTGGGGGTGTTATGTCCCTGTGGGTGTACTCCCATGGTGGGGGTGTTATGTCCCTGTGGGTGTACTCCCATGGTGGGGGTGTTATGTCCCTGTGGGTGTACTCCCATGGTGGGGGTGTTATGTCCCTGTGGGTGTACTCCCATGGTGGGGGTGTTATGTCCCTGTGGGTGTACTCCCATGGTGGGGGTGTTATGTCCCTGTGGCTGTACTCCCATGGTGGGGGTGTTATGTCCCTGTGGGTGTACTCCCATGGTGGGGGTGTTATGTCCCTGTGGGTGTACTCCCATGGTGGGGGTGTTATGTCCCTGTGGGTGTACTCCCATGGTGGGGGTGTTATGTCCCTGTGGGTGTACTCCCATGGTGGGGGTGTTATGTCCCTGTGGGTGTACTCCCATGGTGGGGGTGTTATGTCCCTGTGGGTGTACTCCAATGGTGGGGGTGTTATGTCCCTGTGGGTGTACTCCCATGGTGGGGGTGTTATGTCCCTGTGGGTGTACTCCCATGGTGGGGGTGTTATGTCCCTGTGGGTGTACTCCCATGGTGGGGGTGTTATGTCCCTGTGGGTGTACTCCCATGGTGGGGGTGTTATGTCCCTGTGGGTGTACTCCCATGGTGGGGGTGTTATGTCCCTGTGGGTGTACTCCCATGGTGGGGGTGTTATGTCCCTGTGGGTGTACTCCCATGGTGGGGGTGTTATGTCTCTGTGGGTGTACTCCCATGGTGGGGGTGTTATGTCCCTGTAGGTGTACTCCCATGGTGGGGGTGTTATGTCCCTGTGGGTGTACTCCCATGGTGGGGGTGTTATCTCCCTGTGGGTGTACTCCCATGGTGGGGGTGTTATGTCCCTGTGGGTGTACTCCCATGGTGGGGGTGTTATGTCCCTGTGGGTGTACTCCCATGGTGGGGGTGTTATGTCCCTGTGGGTGTACTCCCATGGTGGGGGTGTTATGTCCCTGTGGGTGTACTCCCATGGTGGGGGTGTTATGTCTCTGTGGGTGTACTCCCATGGTGGGGGTGTTATGTCCCTGTAGGTGTACTCCCATGGTGGGGGTGTTATGTCCCTGTGGGTGTACTCCCATGGTGGGGGTGTTATCTCCCTGTGGGTGTACTCCCATGGTGGGGGTGTTATGTCCCTGTGGGTGTACTCCCATGGTGGGGGTGTTATGTCCCTGTGGGTGTACTCCCATGGTGGGGGTGTTATGTCCCTGTGGGTGTACTCCCATGGTGGGGGTGTTATGTCCCTGTGGGTGTACTCCCATGGTGGGGGTGTTATGTCCCTGTGGGTGTACTCCCATGGTGGGGGTGTTATGTCCCTGTGGCTGTACTCCCATGGTGGGGGTGTTATCTCCCTGTGGGTGTACTCCCATGGTGGGGGTGTTATGTCCCTGTGGGTGTACTCCCATGGTGGGGGTGTTATGTCTCTGTGGGTGTACTCCCATGGTGGGGGTGTTATGTCTCTGTAGGTGTACTCCCATGGTGGGGGTGTTATCTCCCTGTGGGTGTACTCCCATGGTGGGGGTGTTATGTCCCTGTGGGTGTACTCCCATGGTGGGGGTGTTGAGTGTAGGTAATAATAATTAATGAATTAATGTAGTTAATCTTCTGTATAAATATAAATGGAAATGTTCGTTTGTTCAAAATCGCTAATCTCCGAAAGTTCTTCACCGATTGCTTTGAAATTTTGACACAACGTTGCATTCGAATAGGCGCTTCTTTTTATATATCTACTATATACACACCTCACCTGTGACAGGAAAAAACATGCGTTTTTTTTTGTTGGATGTAAGGGCAACATACACTGTAATCTCCGAAAGTTCTTCATCAATTGCTTTGAAATTTTGACACAACGTTGCATTAGATTAGGCGCATCTTTTTCTATACCTACTATATACATGCCACCCCTGTGACAGGTAAAAACATGAGTTTTTGAAAAACAGCGCCATCTGTTGCACATAATGGCAACACGCACGCTATGCTAAATATGTCACGAATTCCATTTCAATGTTTCCGATTGCATTGATAAATTTTATTTTCATAGATCTCTATTTATTTTATTTTTTAATGAATTATTTTGTGTGACATTGCATTGGAATTGAGCTGTGTTGTTTACCAGACTGTTCATTTCGTGAGAATAGTTTATTTTTATATTTTTCATATGTTCATTTAATTTTTTAACTGTTTTTCTTATATTTCAGTGATGGGAACATCAGATCACTTGATGTTCCCATTTTTCTGATGGGAACATCAGACCATTTGGGAAGGCATCGGACGAGGGAGTGGGGAATGGTGGGGATGACGAGGGGACAAGGGAGGGGGTTTAATGGTTGGGAAGGACGAGAGGACGGGGGAGTTTGGGATGGTGGGGACGAGGGGGATGTGGGAATAGAGAATGGTGGGAAGGACAGGGGGACAGGGGAGTTGGGCATGCTGGGAAGGAAGAGAGGATGTAGGAGTGGGGAATGGTTGGGGAGGACAGGGGGACAGGGAAGGTTACCGTGGCTCAGCAACGCACATGCATTGCTGAGCCACAGCAACGCGTGGCCGGGTACTGCTAGTAATAACGTAAGTGTAGTTACAGGATGAGAGCTACGCTCGTGGTGTCCCGTCTTCCCAGCACTCTTTGTCATATATACCGCTTTGAGTGTGTGTGTGTGTGTGTGTGTGTGTGTGTGTGTGTGTGTGTGTGCTGTAGAGAAGATAGAATCGAATTCCCCCCCACCCCCCCTTCCAATTCCCATTTACAACACAAGTGATAAGGAACACAACCCTCTACCGTACGTACCATAGGTTGTGAGGTTGACGAACTGCACGACAGAGCACGCCTCACGTACGGCCAGGTACGTGATCTCACACTTGTATAATCCTTCGTCCTCCGTCCGTAGGGGGAAGATCTCCAGGCTGCTGTCCGTGCCGTTGGCCGCGTAGTGGAAGTCCGTTCTGGAGGGTAGAGGAGTTGTTGATACTTGTTGTGATTTACTGACAAACTAATATTTTGTTAATTATCAGGGAAAATGTCATTTAAAACAACGTGCCCAAAACAATGAAGTGTCGTTTTTAACACCTTTAGAAAATCCAAAAATGTTTGGTGGGTAGCAGGTTAAATATTAATATACAGTCCATGGCATATCAGGGGAAAGCCATTGCGACTATATATAGTACTGGGAAGGGGTCAGGATAAGGATTTGGAATGGAACGGAGGGAAGGGAATGGTGCCCAACCACTTGTAGACAGTCGGGGATTGAACGCCGACCTGCATGAAGCGAGACCGTCACTCTACCGTCCAGTCGAAGTGGCAGGAGTGACATACTAAGTTGCTGAGTATTTGTGAGAAGTTAATTCACATATTGTGAGAATGCTGGTCAGCACTAGGAGGAAGTGATGTGGTGGAGCAGACGCCATACACAGTTTCAAATGTAGCTATAACAGACCGCCAATGGTGATTGATTGATTGATAAAGATTAAGCCATCCAAAAGGTGGCACGGGCATGAATAGCCCGTAAGTGGCGGCCCTTTTGAGCCATTACCAGTATCAATAGATGATACTGGAGATCTGTGGAGGTGCGACTGCACCCTGCGTGACGGGAGATGTCTCCCGTAAGAAGGGAACCGCCAATGGGCTCAAGAACCGGTACACCAGTTGATTTAAGAGTTCAGAGGCGGGACCAAAGAGCCGAAGCTCTTTACTCTTCTAACACACAATTAGGTAAGTATACACAGCTCCTGTGAGGGATAAGTCTCCTATCCTTTGACACCAGCTGTTTCTATCCGTTGTCTTGTTCATCGTAGTGTTCAACAGTGATAATGTTCCTTCAAATGTCGCAACGTGGTGTCCAACGGGGACCCAAAACATGACCTTCAACGATGACAAATGCCAATTCAATATGAAAAATACTTTAAAAGTTGTAGAGGATACGATCAGTATTTAGAACACTTCCTGGGAGGGAGGAACTGAACCTCAAGCCTGCCAAACACTACAAACGTTGTTGTGTTAATTGGAACGTTCGAACAAGTTGTAATGCCTTCTAACTAGTTGTAACAACTATCTAACACGTCATAAAAGCTTTATAACAACTTTGTAACACCTTGTAACAAGATAACACTAGTGACCGCTACGTTGTGTGTGCAGGGCTAGGAATAATGACCTCTGGTGACCTAGGAATGGTGACCTTATCTTGAGGTATCTGAAGATGATTTCGGGGCCTAGCGTTCCCACGGCCCGGTCCTCGACCAGGCCTCATTTTTGTTACACACCCTCAGGAAGCAGCCCGTAGCAGCTGTCTAACTCCCAGCTACCTATATACTGCTAGGTAACAGGGATATCAGGTGAAAGAAACTTTTTGCCCATTTGTCTCCGCCTCCACCGGGGCTCGAAGCCGGAACCTCAGGACTTCGAATCCGAAACGCTGTCTACTCAGCTGTCAGGCGCCCTTATGCTTCAACCTCTCCAATAGCACGCAGTATTTTGACGGTATAATCCCCCCAACGCACAAGATAAGGGATACTATGGAAAATAGCAGCTAAAAAAAAAACTAAAACTTTCTAAGCTTGGGTCGATGAGGTTTGGTGGGTGGAGTGGGTTTGCACGTTTTAGTACCCCGTTTTATGCCCGTTGGGACACAGAGGCCGGGCTGAATGTTTAACAAGCATTAAACGAGGGGATGCTCAGCCAATGGTAACTCTCCAAATGACACCACCAGCATGGGTTCCTGGATGGAAAATCTTGCCTCACAGGCTTAATAGAATTCTATGTCCCGGCGACAAATATCAGGCAAGAAAGAGAAGACTGGGAAGACTGCAAATTTTTGGAATACCAGAAAGTCTTTGACAGAGTCCCCCACAAGAGACTAGTGCACAAGCTGGAGATGCAGGCAGGAGTGAAAGGGGAAGGTACTCCAGTGGGAAAGGGAGTACCTAAGGAACAGAAGATAGCGAGTCACTGTGAGGGGCGAGGTCTCAGAGTGGCGAGACGTCACCAGTGGAGTCACGCAGGGGTCAGTCCTTGGACCTATCCTGTTTCTGATATATCTAAATGATCTCCTCGAGAGAATACACTCGTTCCTCTCAATGTTTGCTGATAATGCAGAAATTATGAGGATTAAGACAGAGGAAGATAGCAAGAGGCTACAATATGACCTGGATACATTAAAGGAATGGTCCAACAAGTGGCTACTGAAGTTCAACCCAAGTAAATGTAAAGTAATGAAACTACGTGGAGGGAGCAGGATGCCAGACAGAAGGTACCAAATGGGAGACGAAGTCCTCATATTTTACAGTCCAGAAAAAGTTAAGTTAAAACCAAACTTCAATATTCTTAGGCCTAGTATAGCACACATATGTACTATATTAGTCCTACGCTAGCATGTATTAGGCCTGAGATTGTTACCAGAGATTTAGGTCTTATTTATGTTGCGGTTAGAACAAAAGTTATCGGATAGTCCAAATTCAATAATACAAGTCGACTTCCTGCCGGACCATCACTATATACTGGGTCTTTCCACCACATAGTTACTGAAAGAATTTTCATTTTAGGAGGATGGGCTGAAAAATGCATACCCCTTTGGACACCGTGTCAAACATGCCCTCTGGTGCCCCTCGAGTTATAGGTATATAGGTATATAACTATAGGTATATATACCCCCCTGGCACACCCAGGGGTATACACGTCTTACAGAGTTAGAGACTCTACGTTAGAGACGTAAAGATTCATGTTGTAAGTGAACAATAATTATATTAACCTGACATATTAAATGAAAAAAACCACCCCTGGCTTTTATTAAATATTACCCACTTTTATACAATATATCAAACAAATGAACAATAAATTGCTTTAATTAGTATTCTAATCAAGAACAAATGGCAGTATATATAATAATTTTTTATTTTGTAAATATACGGCTGACCTTTCTGAAAGGTCAACAACTGACTTTTTTTAGCGGATTTTCTCAACTATTTTATTCTGGTCAGCAGAAGGGAAGGGGAAAGCGCCAAGCCATTGGCTTGGCACTTGGAAGGGGTCTGGATAACGATTTGGAATGGGTCGGGGGGGAAGGAATGATGCCCAACCACTTATGGACAGTCGGGGATTGAACACCGACCTGCATGAAGCAAGACCGTGGAAAGCTGATGTACTGACCTGTCTAGTAGTGGCCCTTCGGCCCGCTTGACGTTGGCCATGTCGGAGAAGATGAAGACTCTGTCGTTGCCTTTGTACCACTTGATGCTGTGGAAGTCCCCGCAGGAGGCCTTGTCCACCTCACACGGCAAGCGGACCTCCTCCCCCGCCAGGCCCTCAACCTCATACCGTCTCACCAAAGCTGTGGAGACAGAAACAACGTCATTAGTGACAGACACACCGTTAGTCCCCTCACTCAGGCACAGCTTAGCGTATTGAACCACAGGGAAATACATTCTGAATAGTATGCAAAGGAAACGAAATTATAAGGAGAAAGTGGTAGATTAGTTCGACTATATAGCACTTGCAAGGGCACAGGATCACTTCCAGCTGCTGGAACTTCCAGTTGCTGGAAGTAATTGTCCCCAACGTCTTGGATCATCGGGGATGGAGCGCCGACCTGCAGGAGGCATGACCGTCGCAGTCTTACAAGTAAAGGGAAAGTGAGAAGTCACACTACCCTGTAGACGGTGATGTGGTCACAAGACACTAATTTATGGTCAGCTGCAGTTAGTGTAGAAATTTCAGGCTCCTTTTACTGTAGGAAATATACAAACGAAATCAGGCAAAGTCTGTATAGCTCTGTATTTCATCGTAGATGTATATTATTATAGTTGACTTGGGAGAATAGTATTAAATCTGACTTTTTTCCTTTTCATAGATTAGGCATTTTCAAACATTTTTGATGGAAGGGAAGGGGAAAGAGCCAAGCCATTACGACTATATAGCACTTGGAAGAGGTCAGGATAAGGATTTGAGATGGGACGGAGGGAAGGAATGGTGCTCAACCACTTGGACGGTCGGGGATTGAACGCCGACCTGCATGAAGCGAGACCGTCGCTCTACCGTCTACCCCAAGTGGTTGGGCAAGTTGGGCAAAGAGATTACAGGCAAGTGATGGTTTTACTTCACTCCACTTGTGGCTGGAGTGAACAGGTGTGAAGTTGTGGCTTCTCGCACAGACTGCGAGAAGCAGCGTCCAACAACCTGGTTGACCAGTCCACTAAATAAAAATACCTAGTCAGAGGCCGGAGGGAAGGGAAAAGAACAATGAACCTCGGAACTCCCTCAAGGTAACTCCCTCAAGGTAACTCCCTCAAGGTAACTATCTCAAGGTAACTCCATCAAGGTAACTCCCTCAAGGTAACTACCTCAAGGTAACTCCCTCAAGGTAACTATCTCAAGGTAACTCCCTCAAGGTAACTCCCTCAAGGTAACTACCTCAAGGTAACTACCTCAAGGTAACTCCCTCAAGGTAACTACTTCAAGGTAACTCCCTCAAGGTAACTACTTCAAGGTAACTCCCTCAAGGTAACTCCCTCAAGGTAACTCCCTCAAGGTAACTATCTCAAGGTAACTCCCTCAAGGTAACTACCTCAAGGTAACTCCCTCAAGGTAACTACCTCAAGGTAACTACCTCAAGGTAACTCCCTCAAGGTAACTACTTCAAGGTAACTCCCTCAAGGTAACTACCTCAAGGTAACTCCCTCAAGGTAACTCCCTCAAGGTAACTACCTCAAGGTAACTACCTCAAGGTAACTCCCTCAAGGTAACTCCCTCAAGGTAACTCCCTCAAGGTAACTCCCTCAAGGTAACTACCTCAAGGTAACTCCCTCAAGGTAACTCCCTCGAGGTAACTACCTCAAGGTAACTCCCTCAAGGTAACTACCTCAAGGTAACTACTTCAAGGTAACTCCCTCAAGGTAACTCCCTCAAGGTAACTCCCTCAAGATAACTCCCTCAAGGTAACTACCTCAAGGTAACTACCTCAAGGTAACTCCCTCAAGGTAACTATCTCAAGGTAACTCCCTCAAGGTAACTCCCTCAAGGTAACTACTTCAAGGTAACTCCCTCAAGGTAACTCCCTCAAGGTAACTCCCTCAAGATAACTCCCTCAAGGTAACTCCCTCAAGGTAACTACCTCAAGGTAACTACCTCAAGGTAACTACCTCAAGGTAACTATCTCAAGGTAACTCCCTCAAGGTAACTCCCTCAAGGTAACTCCCTCAAGGTAACTCCCTCAAGGTAACTACCTCAAGGTAACTACCTCAAGGTAACTCCCTCAAGGTAACTACTTCAAGGTAACTCCCTCAAGGTAACTACTTCAAGGTAACTCCCTCAAGGTAACTCCCTCAAGGTAACTCCCTCAAGGTAACTATCTCAAGGTAACTCCCTCAAGGTAACTACCTCAAGGTAACTCCCTCAAGGTAACTACCTCAAGGTAACTACCTCAAGGTAACTCCCTCAAGGTAACTACTTCAAGGTAACTCCCTCAAGGTAACTACCTCAAGGTAACTCCCTCAAGGTAACTACCTCAAGGTAACTCCCTCAAGGTAACTACCTCAAGGTAACTACCTCAAGGTAACTACCTCAAGGTAACTACTTCAAGGTAACTCCCTCAAGGTAACTACCTCAAGGTAACTCCCTCAAGGTAACTACCTCAAGGTAACTCCCTCAAGGTAACTACCTCAAGGTAACTCCCTCAAGGTAACTCCCTCAAGGTAACTACCTCAAGGTAACTCCCTCAAGGTAACTACCTCAAGGTAACTACCTCAAGGTAACTACTTCAAGGTAACTCCCTCAAGGTAACTCCCTCAAGGTAACTCCCTCAAGATAACTCCCTCAAGGTAACTACCTCAAGGTAACTACCTCAAGGTAACTCCCTCAAGGTAACTACTTCAAGGTAACTCCCTCAAGGTAACTCCCTCAAGGTAACTCCCTCAAGATAACTCCCTCAAGGTAACTACTTCAAGGTAACTCCCTCAAGGTAACTCCCTCAAGGTAACTCCCTCAAGGTAACTACCTCAAGGTAACTACCTCAAGGTAACTCCCTCAAGGTAACTCCCTCAAGGTAACTCCCTCAAGGTAACTCCCTCAAGGTAACTCCCTCAAGATAACTCCCTCAAGATAACTCCCTCAAGATAACTCCCTCAAGGTAACTACCTCAAGGTAACTCCCTCAAGGTAACTCCCTCAAGGTAAACACAGATATTAACATCAATTTCTCCCATTACAATTAAGTATTGCAGGAAATTTCAACTCGCAATAATAAAACTGCCAAATTGATATTATTAAAACATTTGATAACTAATCTGCATAAAATATATTTAATTAAGCTATAATTGAGTATAAATATTTATTGTTTATGACAAAAGTATAGTTGTGTATAGAGAATTTTTGCTAAAGTTACGATTCTTAGCGAGATATTTCGTAAGTATCATACTACCAGTGCCAGGCACCCCCCAGTGCCAGGCACGACCAGTGCCAGGCACCCCTCAGTGCCAGGCACCCCTCAGTGCCAGGCACGACCAGTGTGGTTGATGTAACCAGGACAGCTCCCTGACCTATCAAACATGGGTGACTCGATCACACCATAATTGGGCTGTTAGACTATCCCCAGTAACCCACATTTTAGCCTCGTTTAATGAGGTATCTAAGACTTAGTAAGAGTTGTGACCGGTTCTTCTAGATAGTGCTAGAAAGGGAGGATTGAGACGAATAGAGCCAGAATGAGATGAATAGAGAGATAGGAATCAAGTGAGACGGGGAAAGAGACAGGGATGAAGGAGACTGATAGACAGGAATCGATAGAAAGAATTAACAGATAAGAAAGATTTGTGACTTACAATGTGACTGAGTCTCGCGTGTATTGAGTTAATCATGTGTCAATACGTAATATTCTTATCACGCATCGCGTGATGAGAATAGGGAAGAATTGTGTGATGAGAGAGAATTCATCTCCCAGGAGAGGAGAGAGATCTGTGACCCATCAGCCTCTTGAGTAGCGGTTTGATGACTTCTCACCACAACAAAAAAGACTTTTGGCACGTAGTAAAAAGTCATAAAAAAAGAGGCAACTATAACAAAGCCAGCAACTGTAAATCCCCCTCTCCAGCTGTCCTCACAACCCACACACAACAAACAATTGTTCCTAACTCAACAACCTCAAAGTCAACAGCCAATGGAGCAACAGCAACACTTTAAACCATAAATAAACTTAAAGGGAACTCAAGTCCTAACTCAACAGCCCCCAACTCTTTTCCAACTGAGTAATTACTCACCCATTCCCCTTCCTATCCTTTTCCACCCTTCCTATCCTCTCCCACCCTTCCTATCCTCTCCCACCCTTCCTATCCTTTTCCACCCTTCCTATCCTTTTCCACCCTTCCTATCCTTTTCCACCCTTCCTATCCTCTCCCACCCTTCCTATCCTTTTCCACCCTTCCTATCCTTTTCCACCCTTCCTATCCTTTTCCACCCTTCCTATCCTTTTCCACCCTTCCTATCCTTTTCCACCCTTCCTATCCTTTTCCACCCTTCCTATCCTTTTCCACCCTTCCTATCCTTTTCCACCCTTCCTATCCTTTTCCACCCTTCCTATCCTCTCCCACCCTTCCTATCCTTTTCCACCCTTCCTATCCTCTCCCACCCTTCCTATCCTCTCCCACCCTTCCTATCCTTTTCCACCCTTCCTATCCTCTCCCACCCTTCCTATCCTCTCCCACCCTTCCTATCCTTTTCCACCCTTCCTATCCTTTTCCACCCTTCCTATCCTTTTCCACCCTTCCTATCCTTTTCCACCCTTCCTATCCTCTCCCACCCTTCCTATCCTCTCCCACCCTTCCTATCCTCTCCCACCCTTCCTATCCTTTTCCACCCTTCCTATCCTTTTCCACCCTTCCTATCCTCTTCCACCCTTCCTATCCTCTTCCACCCTTCCTATCCTCTCCCACCCTTCCTATCCTCTCCCACCCTTCCTATCCTCTCCCACCCTTCCCCTATCCTCTCCCACCCTTCCTATCCTCTCCCACCCTTCCTATCCTCTCCCACCCTTTCTATCCTCTCCCACCCTTCCTATCCTCTCCCACCCTTCCCTCTCCTTCTCTTCCTTCATATTTATCACAAAGAAAATACACATATACAATAAGTTGTTTTCGGGGGTTTTATGTATGTTGTTAGTAAAGAATTAGTGTGTGAGTATACGGCCGGTTATTATACTCCTGAAGCATACCAGGGGTATACCTGAAGCACACTAGGAGTACCTTTAAGCATACCTGAAGTATACTCCAAGCAGACCAGGTGTTTACAGGCAGCTGTGTGTCTGTACAGGCACGTGTGTGTGTGTGTGTGTGTGTGTGTGTGT